ATAGGCGTTGTGACGCGGCATCAGGCTGCTAGCGACCTTTACAGGATTCATCGGGGACCATCCTCCCGACGGGGGTCGATGGTAGGCAACCGAGACTGCAGAAAGCAAACTGTGGATAATGGGGAAGTACCGAACTAGCCCCAAACCATAACTGAAAAATGGACTCCCCTTCAACTTTATTACACTTAAAAACTGCTCCTTGTCTGCCCTGTTCTTACTCATTGAAAGGCAAATGAGTTAAAGCTGAACACAGGCAGCCATCACTCCCAGTAAAAATGAAATCCTGCCATTTGAAAGCCTCACAGAGAATCCCTTTACGTACATTACGGAGCCTCTACACGAATTCCTGACAGCTCAGTGGGCCACAGACCCTGCCAGATTTTTGAGCTACATCTGCAGTATCTTTTCTATTCAGGCAGCTGGCATAAAGTGGGAAACTTCATTAACATGCTAATGATGTCCTATTTAAAATTCTAGCCCTGATTATTCTGTGATTAAATCTCTCCCCTTGACGTCTGCTTCCTTTATATCTGAGTTATAGTGCGAAATCAACAATATTAATGAAGTACAATACAGATTACCAACGTATACACAAGAGATGGAAGAAGTTATATATTTCTCAGGGTTGTCTTTTTGCTGAAAAGCAGATGTAGCAAACTAAAAAAGTTACTGGTTGTTGGAGTTTTTTTTTAATCCCAGCCCCCCTTAAAAAAATTGAAATCCACAATAATTAAAGGTTTATAGTTAATCTCCATAATTCAGGGGTTGAAAGCTTTTCATTCTATTTCACTGTGCTTAAAGTTGCTCAATTCCAACATGTCCTCCTGAAGTCCTACGGAGAGCTGATACAGGTTGAAACACACCCCCTTCTTGCCTCTTCACAGAGACTGTGTGTCACTGTGACAAAGTCAATGGATTCAGTGATGATTTCTGTCTTCCTTTGCCCTTGATTACTCTGGCACATTTCGGGACTTTTTCATCATTTTGCTCTGTCTGCTGACACCCCAATATGAATATCCCACTCAGACGACTCAAGCCTCTTCCACAAAAGACAATCAAACTTCCTCTGGTCTCACGAAATTAGAAAATGGATTTGAAGAATTAAAAAAGAAGAAAAAGAAGATCCAAGGTCTGGGTCTGTAATTCAAAGTAGAGGAGTCGAGGAACAATATGGAAATAAAGGAATGTTTCGTTTTTAACATCTGGTCCCAGATGTTATATTTGCTATTTTCAAAGACACCATGCTGGACACTGTGACAAAACAAACGAAACATAAGGACAGTACTGTTCCTTGATCTCAATTGAGCCAGCCACAGAAGAGGTAATAATGCTATAAATGATCAACAAAGCACTTCCCATTGGTAAGAGTTCTCTGTATAAGAGATACTGCTATCTGCTCCCCAAAACTGCAAATCTCTCCTTCCACTATGGAACCAGACCCCTGGCTGGACTTGGACATACATGTGGCTGGGTCCACCATCTTGGACCAAATGGCACCTATCGAAGGACACAGATGAACCAAGGAGAAGAGGGTGGGTCGCTGTCCATCAGGGAGTTTTCTGTCCATTCCCAAATTACCTTCTTCCCATGTGCCACATTCTGCAACTATTGCTGGAAACCAAAATATGGGGGGTTTTTTAATAATTTTTATTTATTTATTTTTTATTTCTTTTCAGTGTTCCAGAATTCATTGTTTATGCACCATAGACAAAATGGATGCATTCCTGGAAACCTATAAACTTCCAAAACTGAAACAGGAAGAAATTGACAACCTGAATAGACCGGTATCTAGTGACGAGATTGAAGGAGTGATCAAAAACCTCCCAAAAAACAAGAGCCCAGGACCTGACGGATTCCCTGGGGAATTCTACCAAATTTTCAAAGAAGAAATAACACCTATTCTCCTGAAGCTGTTTCTAAAAATTGAAGCAGAAGGAAAACTTCCAGACTCTTTTTATGAAGCCAACATTACCCTGATCCCCAAACCAGGCAAAGACCCCACCAAAAAGAAGAATTTCAGACCAGTATCCCTGATGAATATGGATGCCAAGATTCTCAACAAGATCCTAACTAATAGGATCCAATAGTACATTAAAAAGATTATCCACCATGACCAGGTGGGATTCATCCCCGGGATGCAAGGGTAGTTCAACATTCGCAAATCAATCAGTGTGATAGAACAAATCAGTTAGAGAAGAGAGAAGAACCACATGGTCCTCTCAATTGATGCAGAAAAAGCATCTGACAAGATACAGCATCCGTTCCTGATTAAAACTCTTCAAAGTATAGGGATAGAGAGAACATTCCTCAGCTTCATAAAATCCATCTATGAAAAACCCACAGCGAGTATCATCCTCAATGAGAAAAGCTCACAGCCTTCCCATTGAGATCAGGAACACGACAAGGATGCCCACTCTCACCACTCTTGTTCAACATAGTGTTAAAAGTCCTAGCAACAGCAATCAGACAACAAAGAGAAATAAAAGGTATCCAAATTGGCAATGAAGAAGTCAAACTCTCTCTCTTCGCAGATGACATGATACTTTATATGGAAAACCCAAAAGACTCCACCCCAAACTACTAGAACTCATACAGCAATTCAGTAATGTGGCAGGATAAAAAAATCAATGCACACACACACAAAAAAAAATCAATGCACAGAAATCAGTTGCTTTCTTATACATAACAAAATCTGGGTTTTTTTTTTTTAAGAATTCTACATACTGCTTATTTCTTAAACAGTTTTATTTTAAAACATTTTATCTAAGAACACGAAGAGTCAGCTCGTGGCACATACATGTGTGGACATACTATTCCTCTGTATTTGGTCTACATTTAAAGCTCTACATTTAGAGCTCCCTCTGAATCTTTAACTCTCAAAAGCCAACAAATGGCAGACTATGGACTTTGGCCTAGTTTTACTGCATTTTGAAAGATAAAAAGCTTCAATCTACTAAGGAATTTGTTATTTATTTATTTATGTACTTATTTATTTATCTCCCATTACTCTCATCAACCCAATATTATTAACTTGGTTGACCTGAGGCCAAGTCACCTCAGATTGGTTAAGAATTACCTTCAGCTTAAAGCACAGGAAAAAGGGTAGCTGATCCAGCAAAATCTAAGTCTAAGACATAAAGAACGTACTCGTCACAGTAACGAGCCATCTGCAGCTTACAATCATTGATGGTAACAATCTCTCATCCCATTTGTTTATGTTTTATTCATCATTTTGGAAATACTTAGTAAAGTGACAAGGATGAGATTCAAAAAATACTACATGGCTCTTTTTTTTTTCTTTTTAAGAGATATTTATGGCTTTCAAGAGCTCAACTGAAGCTGGACTAAATTTGCTGGACTAAATTTGTCCAAATTGGTTGACATCTTCTTTATTCTTAGATACTATGGATTCCCCCATATTGAGCCAAAAGTTATGTAGTGAAAACAAGAGAAATTTCATAGTGTTTATGTTTATACATTTGAAAAGTCTATAGCTAAAATTCATTTAAAATATCCAATGATTTTTGCTATCATGACTTCATAAAGCACAGCATCCCATCTTAGGAAAAAGTGTTGTTATCCTTCAATACCCTAGTTACATAGTCAGACTCAGATTACAGTCTCTACACATTTGGCAAAAAAGAAGCCTTGACCTACAGAAGGGGGAAAAGAAAGATAAGAAGCCCTCGTTGTCTAGCCAGGTTAGGCCTGCCATTGTGAAGGAGACACAACCATTTGTAACATTTCGAACCGTTCGAAACAACCAAACGTCCCATCTGTGATTCAAATAACTGAAACCTCTTTTTACAATTGAGTAAGCCTTTCAAACAAAATTTATTCATAGTGAAAAGACACCTAATTTCTGCTAACTAATTTCATATTTCTTTATTTGGTTTTGAATACTAATCTTCATTTACTCCAATCTGTGGAGTATTTTCGAATAGCCATATTTCAACTGTGGCTACCTAACAACCCATTATTTTCTTATTTCTTTTTAAATAAGAATGCTTTGTAAATATAATTATTTATTAGTAGATCGGTCTTTCATTTTCCTAGTAAACAGCATTTATTATGGACTATGATATTCTATGTATGACCTCTAGCCTCTAGCAGCTTCTACTTCTGGAAGAAATGCAAGAAGGCAGACACACACATGTGCACACACAGCTTAAAAATCTTTATAAGTTACCTCGTTTACTCTGTATGGCTCAATCAGCCTATGAGCTGGATATTCTCGTTTTACCAGTTTAAAAAAGACGGGTTCTAGCATCTAACATATTTTAAGTCTGCATTTATTTCTCAGGATTGCCTTCTTCAGATTAGAAACTGAATCACTGTAAATTCTTTACATTTTTTTTTTAAAGAAATAAGTTTTCACTTTATCAGTTCAGACTGAACGAGCATCTTCTAAGACTTGTCCCTCAGAGAGCAATCCTCAAGGTGACCCCAGCTACAATGGGAACGGTAAAGAACGCAAGAGTAAGGTAACGCTCCGACAGGCGGAGACTTCGGTCAAGGCAGCCTTGGCCTCTCCCATGTCGTTCTTCCTGGAGAAAGAAGCTCTCAGAAAAGCTCACACACAGAAAAGCCACTTCATGGTCTTCATTCAGTTTTCTGAGTCAGCCGGCTCTCATCTGTGATTGTGCAAGCCAGAAGACGAAGCCAAGGAACAAAAGGAACATAACTGTCAAACAGAGAAAATTCTCAAGACCTGTGCCAAAGGAAAGATTGCTCTAAATGATCACAAGGCTATTAGCAAATGGAGGGTAGAGGAGGGGGAGAAAAGACATCGCATGTGAATAGCGAAACAAAAGCTGACAAGTAATTCTACCCCATTTGCCAAGGCTCCTGCCAAAAAACAAAATCCTCCGGGAAGAGTGTCCCATGCTCCAGGATGCCCTTCACAGTGATGCTCACATAGGGCACAGAACATCCCACCGGGCCACACAGGACCATCGACAGCGTGAATATTTCACTGGGCCACGGTTGGGACTGCTTACCGTAGGCGGTCTCCCCCTCGTCCAGCTGTCTTCTCAGTCTGCTGTAATCTTCTTTCACACCACCCAGCTTTTGGACATTCCTGGAACTCAGTGCCCGAAGCTTGTCCAGGAGTCCCTCCAGAGCTTCCCTTTCTGATGTTAATGATCTAATCTCCTCGCTGAGCTCCTTGGCTGTAGAGAAATGGTTTCCTGTAGCACATTGCAAGAGAGAAGGAGGGAAAACAAGTTTGACAGCATCCCCACACACGGAAGATTTAGCAGCAGCTAGTGTGCACCGACAGTATGGAGAAAGAGGGCTAAGCTTTGCAAAGGCATCCAACTGCAGGGATAGTCTTCTGTGGGAAAAAAACACTGACTGTCCCCCAGTGTCTCTTTATCACCTTATTTTTGTTAGGTCTGTTTCAAATTTTCCATAGCCAGTCCATGTCCTTGTGAAACACAATGACACAAAAACATCCAAGTGAAATCCAGGGAAACACATGGTATGACTCCATTCAAATATCCAAATGTCAAGGAGGTGAAATACTACAGTGGAGTGGAAAGGGACTAGCCATTGGAGTCAGGCTAGACCTAAATTCAAATCCTAGCCCTCCTATTACTCAACCTGCATGACCTTGAGCAAAGAAATTAACATACGTAATTCCAGGGCCAACTTCTTATAAAATAGGGTTGTACTAACACCTGCATCACAGGTGGCTTCAAGAATAAACACGAAATTCCGTAAAGCACTAAGAAAAATATGTCATGCGTTGCATCTAGCAAGGTTGTAGGATACAAGGGCAATATACAAAAAGCAATTGTAATTTTAAAATATCAACAGCAAATAAGTAGAAGATGATTATTTTTAAATACTATTACAAGATATTTTAAAGCTCAAAATACTTAGGGATAAATTTAAAGAAACATGCGCAAGACCTCCACACACAAAACCATTTTAAAAACTTCTGAGAGAAATTTAAAAAGACTTCAGTAATCAGAAAGACAGAATACTATATATACATATATTGGAAAACTGAATATTTTTAACATTTTAACAAATTCATCTATTCATTCAAATCAATTCCAATCAACATCTCATGATGGTCTTTTGGAGAAACCAATAAGCTTATTCTAAAATATAAAAGAAAATGCACAAGGTCTAGATCAGCCAAAAAAAAAAAAAAAACCTTGTCAGGTAGAATGAAGAGAACATATCTTACTTGATTTCAAACTAATGCAGAAGGTATTGATCAAGATAGAATGACACCGGCATTAGACAAATAGATAAACAGATCAATGGAGTAGAACAAACAGTCCAGGAGTGGACCACATTCACACAGTCAACTGATTTTCAACCAAAGTGCGAAAGCAAGTCGATGAGGAAAAAAGAGCACAACTGACCCTTGAATACCACAGGTTTGAACAATGCGTGTCCATGTGTATGTGGATTTTTTTTAATAAATACAGTACAGTACTGTAAATATAATTTCTCTTCATTATGATTTTCTTAATGTTTTCTCTTTTTTAAAAGATTTTATTTATTTATGTGACAGACAGAGATCACAAGTAGGCAGAGAGGCAGGCAGAGAGAGAGGGGGAAGCAGGCTCCCTGCTGAGCAGAGAGCCCGATGCGGGGCTAGATCCCAGGACCCTGGGATCATGACCTGAGCCAAAGGCAGAGGCTTAACCCACTGAGCCACCCAGGTGCCCTGATTTTCCTAATATTTTCTTTTCTCTACCTTGCTTTATTGTAAAAATATAGTAGGTGAAATATGCAACACACAAAATATGCATTAATCAACCCTTTGTGTTATTGGTAAGGGTTCCGGTCAACAGTAGGTTACTAGCAGCTCCATCAAGGGAGAGTCAAATTTTTGACTCTCAGAATTTTGACAGTGTTGGGGGCTGGCACCCCTGACCCCCACATTGTTCATGGATCAACTATATTTTCAACAAATGATAATAGAACAACTACCTACAGAAATGGGGAAATTTTAGCTTTGATCCATACTTCAAACCCTACACAAAGTTTAATTAGAGATGGATCACAGAAATATATGTGGTAGCAAGAACTATAAAGCTTGTAGAAGAAAGTATAGAAGACTTATCTAACTTTGGAATAAGCAAAACTTTGGTTAGAACCCAGAAAACACTAACAACAACAAAAAATAGATAAGTGGACTTCATCACCATTAAAAACCTCTATTCATCAAAAAACACCACTAAGGAAATGAAAAGGCAAGCCACAGACTGGGAGAAAATATTTGTAATACATAAATCTGACAAAGGAGTCAAATCCTATAACCCAATAATTAAAACCCCAATGACCCCGTTGAAAAATGGGCAACTGATTTAACAGGAATTTTACAGTGTAAGATATGCAAATGGCTGGTGATCATATGAAAACTGGTTGGTGGTTATTAGTTGCCAGAAAAATACAAATTAAAGCCATAGAGATTCCATGACAAAACCCTTCCAATGGCTCAAATGAGCAGACTACAGCTGTCCGGCTGGCAAGGACGCAGAGCTACGGAGCTCTCGTACACAACGGGAGTGTCGATGGCACTTCTCTCTGTTTCTCCTCAAGTTAAATACACACCTGTCCTTGGACCCAAAAATTCTATTTCCAGGTATTTATCCGGGAAGAAATGAAAACATGTAACCAAAAAACAGTTGTACTCAAACGTCCGTAGTGGCTTTACTCGTGATAGCCCAAATGAAATCTAATGTCCACCAAGGGGAGAAAAGCAGAAACACGGGCCCATGTACACAATGGAAGACTACTCTACCACAAAAGGGCACCAGCTCTGCATATACACAGTGACATGGGGGTAGCTCAAAGAAAGAAAAAAAAAAAGAGACGTAGAAGAATGCATACCACGTGAATCCACTGCTACTAACTTCTAGCACAGGCAAAACCGATCCATGGTGAAAGATACCAGAACAGAGGCTGGCTGGGGATGGGGGGCGATGACTGGGAAGGGGCACCAGGGTGATGCTTCTGGAGGAATGAAAATATCTTGATAGGGTCGCAGACCAAAGTTGTCAAAATTCATATTATTGGGCACTTAAGATCTGTGCATTTCATTGAATAGAAATCATACTTCAATAAAAAAGGAAAACTGTATTAGGGGAAATTTTAATATGAAAGTTACACCATAAATGAATAAGCTTATCACAGTAGTGAGTGCTCCATAAATAATAGTTACTGTTATCAGGGGGCTCCATGATGTTTCCGCGATAACAGCTATGAAACCTTTCTCCTCTACCTTACCAGCATCCTAGGAGGAAGCTATGCCCTATGTTACCTATTCTGAGATGCACCCTTTTACCCCCTGTGTTAACCTCTCTGAGATGGAGATGTGTCTTGCGATCTCCATCAGCCGGGAGGTAGTCAGGATGAAGCCGTTACTCCGTGACTTTCATTCTCGGTGGCTTGGGGACTGTCGGCAAGCCCCTGGCGTTTCAAAGTAAAAACCATTTCAGGATGACTGGGGACCTGGCCCTTGTCTGAAAACCCTCTGTTGTGACGGTTTTGTAAGATCAAGAAAGCACCATCCGTTAAGACTTGAAGAACCGTGTTGCAGCTTGGTAGAAACTACAGAAAACAGTAGTTCATTCTCGGAGAGGGGGAAAAAGTTGCATCACCAACAGTTTCGCTGATGCTGAGGGTGATAATGGGTGAAAAAACGTGAGTTCCGACTACTGTGAGTCACAACGTGTTTCAGAACACTCAGACTCCAAATACGAAGACATTTTAGGAAGCCCTTGAGTGATTAAGTCTCCTTTCAAAGAAGATTTTTCAAAGGCCCGAACACATCTAAAAGAACTACTTCAGTAAGGGTAAAATAAAAATTCTCAGCCACAGAAAGCATTATATCATTGTTTAATTGACAGCGATTTTTCTTTCTTCGCAGTGTATACAATAATGGCGCCTTTTATGTTCACTGAAATACATGTTGTTATTTCTGCTTTATAGTGGAGAAAACTGAAACCTAGAGAGAAAAAGATCTTGCTGGGGTTGCATAGCAATAAAATGAAAGGCAGGTTTCCACCTCAAACAGAACTCCTGAATCCTTCTTAGGTTCTAAACTATGCTATTTACTTCTTCATTATTATTATTATTTAAAAGGGAGATTTCAACCCAGTATAAGTGGGAGAAATATGACAAAATGTTTTCCCACGTTAAAGGCATTCTGGACACCTACCATGTAACATTTCTGTTGCTGAAATGCACAATTCCCAATTCCGTGCCTGGATAAGTGTCTTTTGAGATCCTGTTTATTGTCTATCACTCAAGTGGGCAGATACAGGGGAGAACTAGTCAGTACCCTGCTCTCCAGGAAGCCACCATCAAATAAAGAAGAGAAGACGTGTTCTAAGAAATGGGCAAATACGCTCTAGGAGACCTCAGAGAAGAAAGACTTTTCCAGAAGGGGAGACAGAGGCAGGTTTCATGAGGAAAGAATGTAAGGTTTCCAAAAGAAGAAACGGAAACCTGGTTAGAGAACAAAGGGCTTGTCTTCGGCAGGAGGCAGGCATGTGGCCGAGGTGGGGACGAGGCCCACGAAGAAGGTGGATCTAAACAGGAGGGGGTCTAAGACGCCAAGGTGATGGGCTTGACCCATTTCAGAAAAGCCAAGTCCAGAGAAGGAGAGTGGACTGGACTTCCACAAGCTTTGAGCTATAAATAGCAACACAACTAAAACATTTCCTAGATCCATGGTTCCTTTTCTTGAACAATAACCAAGTCAGGGCTGCTGTGGACAGAGCCCACGTGGAGGGCCACCAAGAACCTCAAGTTTGATGGATTCAGGGTTCCCGTTTGGGAAGAGGAGAAAGGTCCTGGAGGTGGATGGCAGTGATGGTTGCACGGAAATGTGGATGTACTCGACACCACTGAGCTGTACACTTAGAAATGGCTACAAGGGTAAATTTAATGTGTCTATATATTTCATCACAATAAAAAGATGTCCTTTAAAAAAAAAAACAACAACAAAGAATTTCAAGGGACATACCCTGTGCCCAGGATGGTTTGGGGAAGACCAGCTCAGAGGTGTGACTGACTCTAGACAGGGCAGCCACGGGCACAATGGGATGCCTTCAAATGTCCTTTCCCCGCCAGGCTCAGGGAGCCCCAGCCTTTCTGCTGGACCATATTTTCAAGCAAGAGAGGTGATCCCAAGTGAGGTGGGTGCCAACGGTGTCTC